ATATTGGTTAATATTCATGAAATTTCTAGCCCCAATAATGGTATTTTATTTGCCTATAAATACTGGTTGAATTTTTCTAATAACCGTTCCCACAGCATATCGGGACATTTGTCATGCCATGATTGGCAAAATTAAAATGTAAACTCTTCTTTAAATATATTTCTAATTCGATTTTAAGTGTCTTATGTACAGAACAAATTAAAATTTTAAAAATAATTAGTAGGATGCTCAATAGTGTACAGCAATATATGAAAATATAAGAAAAATTCTGAGAAAAACGTTTGGTTTTCATAAATTTTTCCAAATATCTTTAAACAGAACTCTTAATGCTGAAATTAGCATTCATATAAAAAAAAAGTTCATTTTCGAAACTACTACTTGAGTTTGGCTGCTAAGCAATGTTAAACTGATTAAATAGTGACTCATTCGATATCGCGAGCCTTTATATAGTTCAGTTACTGTGGACCGGGCGTTGTGGCCGACCATCCCCAGAAGAGGGAAAGGTCAAAAAACAACACCCCTGATGCAGGACCCTCAAAAAAGAGGTCTATGAAGGGCAATGTTGTGGTCCCTGGGAACATTCCTCAACAAAACCCGAAAATGACTTCTTATCGGGATGCAGTAGCACAGGTCAAGGTGGCCATCACTCATAAACTGCATCCAGAGGAAAGGCTATCCGAAGTTCAGATGGGGAAAATCAAAGTAGCCATCATGGATGAAATGGATAAAATTGTGGATTCCCATCCACAATTCACTATAGCGTTGCAAAAGGATGGATGGATATCCGTAACATGCAACAATCAAAACACCAGGGAGTGGATAACCAGTGTCTGCAGGAAGATAAAACCTTGGGACGGTTGCAACGTCGTGGCGCTGGATGGTGACGACATGCCCAAACAGCACGTCTGCGCCACTTACGTACCAAAAGACGAAACAACCGTCAGTCTCTCCAGGAACAAATTTCTAAGTAGGATAGGGAAGCAAAATCTCAGCCTCAAGATGAGTTCCTGGAGGGTGCTGAGGATGGATAGGGAAAAAACGCCCACTGCGACAACAACAAGCCAAAAGACCAACCAAAAGAGTCAAAACTCATTTGAAAGTGTGAAGTCGCTCCGAAAATGGCGGCTATGCAAATGGAAGGGCCATCAATCAGCACGCCAAATAAGCTCATTAAGAAACCCGGAACTGCTTCGGTATTTGGTGTTGGAGGGGCCAGTGCGGCACCTTGGACGGCAAAACAGACTGCGGCGGGGCAGGTGCCTACCGAGGTGCGCAAAAAGGCGGCAATGGGAAGTAAAGTTCATGTAAAGCCTTTGTCTAAAGCGCCAAAGCCCATAAACAAGAGTCAGAGAAAATCGTATGGCTCGTTATCGTAAACGATTCTGGCTCGTAGATTTATGAAGGCTCACCTCGATATCCTCCTTATTCAAGAGTCTTACATAGTGACGGATCAAGTTAAAGGTCTAACAAGTGAGTTATTCTGTGATAATACAATTAGAGGCATTGCATTTTGTTTAGTAAAAGGCTAACATATTTTCCCATTGCAGATTACTGTTCCAAGTATCAGGTAGCTGCGTTGGTGAAGGTGAAGTATTCAGGGGGTTAGACAGAGTTTATTGTATGCTCATCCTACCTCCCGGGAGACTATGCCCACCCAGACGAACAACTGAAAGATATAGTGGACTTTTGTGGAAGGGGGAAATTCCAATTGATAATAGGAAGTGATGTAAATGCCCACCACACCGTCTGGGGAAGCAGTAATATAAACAAAAGAGGTGAATGCCTACTTGAATTTATATATAGCAATAAATTAATGGTTACGAATGAGGGCAATAGGCCGACATTCATAAATACAATTAGGGAAGAGGTCCTTTAACCTGAGTTTATCGGCAGTAGGGTTAATGTATGGCATGTCTCAAATGAGACATCCATGTTCGATCATAGGCAGATTAGGTTTGGTATCATAGTCTCCGGGGGCCTGGTAGAAGAAATGTATTGGGTGCTCCAATTCACAGGTTGGAGTCAATTCGAAACACTCCTCATGGATGGGATTGGATCCGTTCCTGCTTCTGTCAGAAAGGTGATGGATATCGAACTGGCCAGCGAGGCTCTGACGGCGGCTATTACTAGTGCCTACCATGGGAGCTGCCGCGCTAAGCCGAGGCGGAACAATAGGAAGTGCCCGTGGTGGAATGAGGAACTTTCAAGGCTTAGACCTAAGACCAGAACGCTATTCAATAAGGCCAAGGCGTCGAGTTCGTGGCAAGAGTATTAGGACTCACTCACGAAATACAATAAAGAAATTAGGAAAGCGAAGAGAATTTCGTGGAGAGCGTTCTGCAAGGGCATTGATGAACTCTCCAGCAGTGCGCGTCTTCACAGGGTGCTTCCCAAAAAGTGTACCGGCGTGTTGGGCCTAATGGAACGACCTGATGGCTCCAGGACTGAGAACGGAAAGCAGACGTTGGAGCTTATGGTGTAAACGCAATTTTCTGACTCGAAGCTTCTTCGGAATCATTCAAATGCGGTCATTGAACCGATGGCATCCTGGCCCAGGAGGATGACTGGCAACGATCCCGTCTGGTTTTCACCATGGGCAAGATTAGATGGGCTGTTTTCTCTTTTAGGCCCTTCAAATCTCCAGGTGATGACGGGATATATCCTGCATATTTGCAGAGGGGTTTCCAACATATCGCCAGAGCACTGTTGGAAATTCTTCGTGCCAGCTATGAGTGGGGTTACATCCCCCAGGCATGAAGGGTGGCTAAAGTGACATATATTCCGAAGGCAGGTAAGCGACCAAGCAACCACCCAAGGTCTTTCCGTCCAATCAGCCTTACTTCTTTTCTATTGAAAGCAATGCAAAAAGTGATTGATAGATTTATACGGGACGATGCACTGGGAAGCAATCCCTTGCATGAATCTCAGTACGCCTATCAGTCAGGAAGGTCTGCTCTACTCGCTCTGCAGAGTCTGGTGGGGGTCCTTGAAAACTCACTGGAGGTGCGGGAGGTGGCAGTTGGCTGTTTCCTTGATATAGAGGGAGCTTTTGACAACACCCCATACAATGTCATCTCTGAGTAGTTGCATAAACGAGGGATTGATACGACGACTAGCAGATGGGTCATTCGGATGCTACAGGATAGGATTATTAAGTCCACCATAGCTGACGAAATACTCTTCATCTCCGCTGCAAAAGGGTAATCGCTGCTCTCTATGGCACCGGGGCACGTGTCTGGGGATACGCCGATGATGTGGCCTTCGTCGTACGGAGAAAATTTGAGAGCACTATTTCTGAACTTCTACAGCAAAATTTACGTGTTGTGGAGGGATGGTGCAAAGGCGTTGGGTTAAATATAAATCCAAGCAAGAGCACTTTGTTCGCCTTCACCAGACGCAGAAGCAGGGATAAATTAACGAGCCCAATTCTGTTTGGTGTACGTATTAGTTACTCTAGGGAGGTGAAGTATCAGGGGGTAACCCTGGATGATCGTCTCTCCTGGAATACCCATATAGATAGAGTTATCGATACGGCTACGGCGGCCTTGTGTACGTGTAGGAGCTTCATGGGGGGGACATGGGGAATCAGTCCCAAGATAGCACTGTGGCTATATACGGCCCTTGCTAGGCCCATCGTCACCTATGCGTCGATTTTATGGTGCCGTAAGGCTCAGCAGGTGGGAGTACGTGCCAAGCTGGAAAAGCTACAGAGGCTAGCCTGCCTGGGTGTGACCGGGGCAATATGGACGGCTCCCACCGCTGCATTGGAGGTGATGATCGGATTGCCGCCATTGCGCCTCCATATATTGAAGGAAGCTCGGTTAGTGACTTACCGACTTCTCTCTGGCGAGGACAGGGCAGGGCTAAAGTTGGTCCACAGGACTCACAGAGACTTCATTGAGAGCGATCCAATTCTAAGAATAACCATGTCGGATACCATGTCTGCCGCGGTACAACTTCGACCACAGGTACAGGGTTCTGTTTCCCGATCGATATCCACCCGGACACGCGTATATATGCAACCCTTGACCCGTTTTGCACAGTGTTCCAAGCCGAAATACATGCAATAGAGATCTGTCTGAGAATCAATTTAGAAAGGGGGTATAGAAACCGCACCATCTATGTGCTCTCGGACAGCAGAGCTGCGCTGCTGGTGCTTCGTTCAGCTCAGGTTAAGCTGATTTTATGCAGCCGCTGCCTTTCTGCGGTCAGCCTTTTTCCGCCGTGGGGGCCAGGCTTGCCTGCCTGCTCACGGCGGAACGGTGGGGTTGGCGATGAGACCGCCGTGCACATTCTCTGCGACTGTCCAGCACTGGCTGTTCGGCGCCGCAATTGTCTTGGACGTGGGTCCCAAAGTGTTCGGGAACTGGTGTCCAACTCCCTTAGGAATATCTCCGGCTTTGTGGCTGGGACGGGGATATTATAGGCGGGAGCGTGGTGGGGCTACAATAAGTCAAAAATGGCTGCGGTGGCTTGGGAGGTTACTCCTGTCCCACGCGGTTCCCTTGGAATCTACAAATCTACTGTAATAGTTCATATAAATAAACACTCAAAGATTAATATAAAATAAGTCAAGGTTAAAAGTTAATAGCCTAAGAAAAACCATTTTGTCACCATTATTTTTTTCACGTAAAAAACCAAACTCTGAATTTTTTAACGGAATTCTTAATTATTATTTTTGTTTAATTAAATTTTATTACAAAACTTTCAATCTTATTTATTTTTACTTTACTGACCTACTTCTTCATCTGACCGGCTAATTAAATCTTGAAGAGCATAATAACATAAAGAAAAGACTGATAAAAACAAAATTATAAAAAAACTGTGAAAAATTAATTCAAGATCAATGATTTTAAGAACGAAAAACTTTTAATATTTTCCATTTTATTAATTATAACAGTAATATAGAGTTTTTTAAATTTGTATAAAAACAATTGAATTTCAACCAAAAAGTATCATTGAATTCACAGTTGTTCAGTAAGCAATACAAGGAGCAAAATATGACAGGAAAATTAACATTCATTTTGCTATTTGGGATAGCGTTTTGTTTAGCCCTTGCAAACGCACGTGGCATTGAATATGAAGAACATGACTTAGAAGTTTCACCATCAGATCATCATGAATGGAAAAAAGGTCATGAAGAAGATCATCATCACGAACACCATGAAAAAAAAGGTGAAAAAGGACATAAAGGACATAAAAGCCATCATGAGCATCATAAAGGTGATAAAGGACATCATGATAAAGAGCATAAGAAAGGACACCATGATCATGAGGATGGATATCATAAACATCATCATGACGATCATCATCATCATAAAGAACATAAAAAAGGTGAAAAGCATAAGAAAGGACACGATTTTGAAGATCATCATCATTACAAAAAGGGACATCATGAGCATGGGAAACACGATATTCATAAACATGATGAAGATAAAAAGAAAAAACATTATTGGGATGAAGATCATGATGAAGGACATCATGAAGATCATGGACATTGGGATGAAGAGAAGAAACATAAAAAGGGTGGCCATCATAAGAAGGGACATCATCATCATAAGAAACATCATGATCATCATGGTAAAAAGGGACACGAAAAGAAAGGAGGACATCATCATCATCATGAAGGACATAAGGGTGATAAGAAACATGAAGATCATTGGGGACATGATGAACATTATCATAAGAAAGGTGGAGATCATCATCATAAAAAATGGCATCACAAGAAGGGACATAAAAAACACTAATCAATTAGGACAGTGTGAAAAGACTGATATTTTTGTTTCATCCTATAAATTCGAATCAGAATAAAAAAAACTTAATACCGTAATAATCTCTTTTCTTTCTTTTTCCTTTAGCTATTCAAAATATTTAGTTTCTTTGAGCAACAAAATATCATTACATAAGATGTTATGCATAAATTTCTTATCAAGAGGTTTGCTTCCCTAAATAGTGTTATTGTAGGAAAATTTAATCCTCAAGAAGCTCAATTTGAGAATGAAATTACCGAGAATTTATTTGAAATAAATTTATCATAAAGTTATTGTTTGAAATTCGGATTTCTTATAAACCAAAAACCAAAAAATGGAATGTCTTGGTCTGAGATCAAACTCCCATCGATTCCGTTGAAAAATCAAAGATGTTATGCCTAATCCTAGTACATAAATCCTAATACTGATAATCTTTTCTGAAAAAGTGTCACAAATCAGAAATGTTCCAGTTTGATAGCTCTCGTGCTAACTTCTGATAATAATAATGACAATTTTCTACAGCTAATCAAGCTCTTTACAACAAATTTGGGTAGCCTGTGCACATATAAAATAAAATTTTGTTTTGATATACTATTTCACGTAAAATACTATAAGTACGTACAGAAGAATAAAATAAGTATTAACGTAACAAATAACAATTGTTGCTGATTCATGCAAACATTACCGACCTGCCCACGAGTTACAAGGAAGAGAAAAAACGAGAAAAAGTAGTTTGTCTCTCTCTTTAACTATTCTCTCTATATTGGCCGCTTTTCATTTGAAATTGTAAAATATTACAAATGCCCACGTCTCTCGAAGTACGTAAAATTTAGAAATACACTACCCTATACTGAGGACAACTTAAAATTACATGCGCTTGCACTCCGAAAGATAACAGTATTAATATATCTATAAAAACGCTATGCTATGCATATTATGATATCTGCCAATCTTAATTCGTATAACAGCTTAACGTGACATTTTGAGAAAAAAAAAGTAAAATCACTTCATATCTCAAAAAATCTGTTACTTTTTTCGATACCTTACTCTCTACATCTTGGTAATATAAACATTTCGTAGTAAAATTGTAATTCTCACAGTAACCATATATACTTTAATCTTATATACCTGCACAGGTCTATTAACTGAGAAAAAAAGTTGTGAAAAACACATCGCCCTAACTTTATCTGATTCTTAGCTATTATGGATATTATTGCCACCAGATTTGTTCAACTTGATTTTCCAAAAATTCCCATTAGAGTAGTTTTGGAAAATCAAATTCTCCCCACTCCCGTACGAACAATTTCCCAAAAACCCCAGGAATTACCTAAGGAGAGCTTTAAAGCAGTTGCGGGCAACACTTCGTTTTCAAAATTGTAAAATAATTAGGTATTTTTCGTTGTCTTTGATTTGTTTTAGAGTAAAATAAAAATTAGACAATTTTTTCCCCAACTATCCCAGAAACTGATTTTTCAAGCACATTGCTTGAATTCAAAAGTTAAACAAAAAGTAAAAGGTGACTTTTTTTTTTGAAAAACATTGACAAGCAAGCGGTCAACTACAATACATCAATTTAACGTAATTTTACGCATTTCTAAGTGAATCACCCATAAGCGTGCATTTGTACACTTATTTTTTGTAGTGTTATAATGAACTTTTATAACTGAACTTGAACTCTATAAAATATTTTCTTTAAATAAATTTTTTTTAGTATAGCTAATTATAATATAAAAATTCATTCATTTATGCTTACGTTCATGGTTGATTTACTTCAACATAAAATATTTCAACGTTCAGAACTAATTGAAGGTATCTTGGTCATTGCAAAAAGTGGATTTCAAAATCATATTATTGCCACATAGTATATAAACAAAATTGCAAATTCCATACTACATCAGTTCACATTTTGAAACAACTGAAGAACAAACAAATATTTCAAAACTAGAAATATTATTCCAACTTCATCTGTAAATAGAAAAAATTTAGAATACAAAATAAAATCAAAATGGTAAAAAAATCAACTTTAATATTGCTGTGCTGTATTGGATTTTGTATTGCCGTGTCTAGTGCTCGAAGAATTTATTACGAAGATTTGGAAACATCAGCATCAGAACATCACGAGGAATGGAAGAAGGGACACGGTGAAGATCATCATCAAGAACACCATGGTAAAAAAGGAGAAAAGGAGAGTAAAGATCACAAGAGTCATCATGAGCATTATAAGGGTGAAAAAGGCCATCATGATAAAGAACAGAAAAAAGGACATCATGAAGATGAAAGTGGATTCGAGAAGAAACATCACAATGATGGATATTATGACAAAAAACATAAAAAAGGTGAAAAACATGAAAAAGGGTACGACTTCGAAGATCATCACAAATATAAGAAAGGCCACCATATAAAAGGAAAACATGGTATTCATAAATTAGATGAAGGTAAAAAAGAAAAACATTTCTATGATGAAGATCATGATGAAGGACATAAAGTCGATTATGGACACTGGGATGAACAAAAAGCACATAAAAAAGGTGGTCATCATAAAAAAGGTCATCATCATGAAGGTCATCATCATGATCATCATGGTAAAAAAGGTCATGAGAAGAAAGGTGGTCACCACCACCATCATGAAGGACATAAAGGTGAAAAAGAACATAAAGATCACTGGGAACATGACGAACATCATCACAAAAAAGGTGGCGATCATCATCATAAAAAATGGCACAATGAAAAAGGGCACCATTGAATGGGACAGATTTGTGTTCTTTTTTTTTTTTTGACTCCTAACTACGTTTGATATAATAAAAAAAAATTATGTGAATAAATTAATTGTTTTCTTAAATTGGGGGCGACTGCATCGCCTCTAACTTAGTTTGAAATTTGAAGAATCGCAAATATTATAATTCAAGAATTCTTCTTACATCCTCCAGAGTTGATGAATAAAATGTTGATTCTAGTCAAATAACTTCTCACTCGAATTTCATTCGTATGAGCTCGGGTCATGTATTTCTTATGACTACGAGTTGCCGTTAAATAATATCATAAAACTTTTTTAAAAAATAAGATTAATTTAAAATGGCTAGATTATGTTTTAGGACAAACTTCATTAACATTACAGTCTTATACTCTCATGTTAGACCATTTTTTGTTTAATATTGCATGTGTTTTTCTATGTTTGCTTTTCAGTTTTTCATATTTTCACTTCCTGAAATTTATTATAAGAAAACCAATACAACCACTATAAAAGTTTTTCGTTTTTTTTTAGTAAAACTCTTTATTATTCTCATGAGTTAAAAGTTGGTATCCCACAATAATATATCCAGATGCTTATGCAAATATGAAATATTTACATTTTAGAAAAATCTTAATAAAAATGAATATAATAAAGAGGATGGTGGGACAGTTTTTTTCTTTTGCTTTACAGTGTTTGTTCCTCCTAAATGAGAGCCTAAATATATGGTAATCAAAATACTAGTATGTTTCCTGGAGTGACTCTTAATATTTCACGAACATGGAATATTTATCACAAATTTTTTAGCAGTTTCTTTACAATTATTACTAAAATTTAAGAGACTAATTAACATACTCATTCTGTAATTCACATTTTGAGTGCGTGAAAATAAAAATACATTATAAAAATAATTCTCACTGATTTCAGTTCTCATTGTATGCGTCTCCCTTCGTGTTTAACGCTCTTAAACTCTAATGTACACAATAATATTTCTCGGTTATTCATCGTATCTTGCACTGCGAGTAAAAAATTTTAAATGCTTAAGAATTTAAAATTTAAAAAATTTTAAATTCTTAAGTATCTAACGAAGTAAATATTATATTGAATACGTAATGAAGTAAGTGTAACTAAAATTGAATTAAACAAACTTGAAAAATCATTTCTACATTATGCCATATGCCAAAACTCTGCCATACGAGTAAGTCACAAATGATGACATTTGTCCTAAGATCGAGATCATGTACATTTTAATAGTTAACATATTTTCCTGGATCACTACATTGATTTCTGACTATCCATGGGTTTCTTTTTTACTAGAAATGGAATATTAAGGTTTTTATGGTATTCGAACATTTTACAAATTTTAATTTTACATGAATTCAAGCAGATGAGTCAACTCATACTCATTTATTCCGTTAATAATTGCCTCCTTCTACTATTGACGGCAATTTTAGTTTTGATTTTTTGAATGGAGTGTCCATTGAAACAGCCTGCACAGTGTAGTGTATGCATTACAAATTACAATTAAAAATTATAAAATATAACAATGAAATGGTTTAATAGACAAATGTGTATGTTTGTATATGTATGTTTTGTAGATATATACAAAATTAATATATACATATATACAAATAGCTATATGGAAAATATTCAAAATTTTATTTTATTTCCAGTGGATAATAACTTGAGACATTTTCAAGGATTGTGAAAATTTCAAACATTTTCAAACAGTGTAGTGTTGTAGTTGTTGTTTATTTCCCTTTCTTTTACCCTATTTAGACTTAATGTTTCCCTATTAGGTTTATAGAGTTCGCTTTTTTTTTTTTTTCTAAAGTGTGAAAATTTATTTAAAAATTCTTTTAGAAAAAAAAAATATAATATTATTTTTTTTCTTGTTTCAGTTTCGTTGGTTAAAGTGGTTTGGATGGTATGTTTTTATTGCAGATAAGAGACTATGTTTAGGTCTCATTTAGTTGACTTATTTGAATTTCGTTTTGTTTTTTTCTCTCTCTCTCTCTCTCGCATTTCAATCCCACTACTTACATATTATATAATATACCTATTTATCTTTTGTAGAACAGCTTTTTCAAGGACTTAATGAGAGAAAGAGAGAAGGGATATTTTTTTAAACTACATTATTATGTAGTACTCTAAAAGGAAATTTTATTTCTTTACGTATTTTTTTGTTATTTTTTCTTTCTTTGTTTTTCTGTGGTTTTTGAAATTCTCCTTTTTTTTTTTCTTTCACTTTAACATTCTTATCTATGGTAATTTGGGCTTAAGAAGTGCTTGACTATAAGGAAGAAAGTTGCTTGTTGTTTTTTTTTCTCTTGTTAAATTAAAACAACAATTATTATTATAATAGCAACGTTTATTTAAATTTTTGCATGTGTTTCTCATTAATTTTAGTATTTTGTGTATATTTATAAAATATGCAATATTATGTTTTTCATTAAAATATAAGTTAGGAACCATTAAGATAATCAGAAGAAAACAAATATAAATAAAATGAAATGTGAAAAAAAAAAATGTTTGGATTTTGAAAGTTCAAAGACATTTTAGGGTTTAATTGCTTGAAAAATAAAAAAACAAATTACGACAAAAAATGAAAATGGCAAAATTGTTTGAACTTCACGAGAAATTTTTTTTTTTTTGTGAAAACAAGGGAAAACTTTCTCTTGAACTCTTTAAAATGGGAATGAAGGGAAATTGCGGCAAAATAATTCAATTTTGGAATTAACACAACCGCAGTTTCGAAAATCAAGATAATATAATAATGTAAGTTTTTTTGGAGCGGACTACAATTATTATTAAAAATATTGAAATATTTTTAGCTAGAAGATTTCATTAGAAAATGAAACTTACTAGAACGGTTGCTTTCTATAAATTAGAGTACCTATAAACTAATTTACAATCATATACCATGGGAAATTTTATCGAATTCCTAATCTGTTTTTGGTTTAAAAAATATGCCTAATAACGGTAATCTGTCGCATATAACGTAAATTTAAGTCCGAAAGTTTTCTATTTGAGCAATAAAATTACGCTAGATTACAAGTTTCATTAAAAATTTACTATTTTAGTAGTAATAGAGGCGAGAATATACAGAAAATACAAAACATGACACCAATGTTAGGGAATTATGCTTGCAAAAGTAAATGAAAAACTAGATTTTTATTCGGCATTTGCGTTTACTTTAGATATGACAAGATTATATGCAATATGGATGTAGGACAATATATGGATGTTTTTAAATAATATTGAACAACACGAGGAGATCTTAAGGAGAAATGTATTTGGTTGTAGTGAAATGGAAGATATAAAACTAAAATATTATGAAAAGCTCGCATAGATTAAATTCATTATTGAATGACTAGTAGTTGTGAGATTAAGGTTAAAAGGAGTTTACTTGAAATCATTGCATTATATTGCATAAATATATTGAAGATTAAGTATAAGTTTCTGATATAAATGGTTTACTTTTTAATAACTATAATGTAAGTTTAAAGTTGTTAAATTGCAAAATTAATTTTAATTAACAATTTTTGACTATATGAACAATATTTTTATAATCTTTTAATAGTTCAATAATTTTAAACTATTTTCTATCAATTTCTGTTGTAGTATGTTTTCACATTTCCAATTTCCACGTCATTGATAATATTTTTCTGAACCCTTAACAGAATTTTATAAAACTTGTGTAAATATCAATGCATATATGTAAAGTTATTATACCCTGCACTTCGTGAAGGGTATATTAACTTTGGTATGGAGTTTGTAACTACTTGAAGGAGTCATCTGCGGTATGGACATATATATATATTCTTGCTCAGCGTAAAATTCTGCGTTGATTTAGACATGTCCGTCCGTCCGTCCGTCCGTCCGTCCGTCCGTCCGTCCGTCCGTCCGTCCGTCCGTCCGTCCGTCCGTCCGTCCGATCGCACGATAACTCAAAAACCAATAATGCAATCGACACCAAACTTTCACAAGTTGCTTCTTTTCTGCCAAGGACGAACCCTATTGTTATTGGACCAATTCGGACAACGGGTTCGGGTAGCTGCCATACAACTCAAAGAGTTTATTTTAATTATTTCAAAAACTAATAAAGGTACAAATATAAAATTTTGTATACATGTGTCCAATTATATTCTACACATGCTCTAAAAATTTTAATGAGATAGCTGCACCGGTTCGGGTGGCTGCCATACAACTCCAAAAGAAAATTTTTTATATTCGGCAAAATAATAAAGTCAGATTCATGAAACTTGGCAGTCGTGTGTCCAATTATAGGCCAAAGATATTTCTGAAGTTTTTGTGGAATTGCTTGACAGGTTCGAGTGGCTCCCATACAAGTCCAAAAGCTTATTTTAAGTATTTGGAAAAATAATAAAGTCAGATTCATGAAACTTGGCAGTTGTGTGTCCAATTATAGGTCAAAGATATTTCTGAAGTTTTGGTGGAATTGCTTGACAGGTTCGAGTAGCTCCCATACAAGTCCAAAAGCTTACTTTAAATATTTGAAAAAATAAAAAAGTTAGATTCGTGAAATTTGGCAGTTGTGTGTCCAATTATAGATCAGATATACCTGCGAAGTTTTATTGGAATTGCTTGACAGGTTCGGGTACCTGCCATACAACTCCAAAAGCTAATTTTAAATATTTGAAAAAGTAATAAAGTCAAATTCATGAAACTTGGCAGTTGTGTGTCCAATTATAGATCAGATATATTTGCGAAGTTTTAGTGAAATTGCTTGGCAGGTTCGGGTACCTGCCATACAACTCCAAAAGCTAATTTTAAATATTTGAAAAAATAATAAAGCCAAATTCACGAAACTTGGCAGTTGTGTGTCCAATTATAGATCAGATATATTTGCGAAGTTTTAGTGAAATTGCTTTGCAGGTTCGGGTACCTGCCATACAACTCCAAAAGCTAATTTTAAATATTGGGAAAAATAATAAAGACAGATTCATGAAACTTGGCAGTTGTGTGTCCAATTATAGGTGAAAGATATTTCT